TGTGTGTGTGTGTGTGCGCGCAACGGAGTAATAAATACGTTGATAGTAAAATACGCGTAAATTGCCTGGAAGAACTGTCTTTTTAATTATATAGGGCGTTTAATTACGTTTGAAATAACAGGAGTTTAATTACATTTATCATTTAGAGACAATGGAACGTTGTATCTCAGTTGCAAATTGCAGTAATTGCATGTCTCGTTTGTAATTATAACATTCGCGACTAAAACGATATGTTAATGTGATTAAATAAAATGTGTATAATAAATAAAAATAATTACGAATTTTAATTTACTTGTATCACATATTTATTGCAAGATGTGATATATACAACATTTATCCATGTTCAGAAAATTATTGTTAACACGCATAAGCTCTTTAAAGCGACAAACAACGCGATATCTTTATAAGTATGACAATTAGTCATATTTGTGTAATTGTATTTNGACTATTATAATAGTTTTAATCCCTTTTGACACAAAACTCCAATATATCAGCCAGTTTACACATGAAAATGAGATAATACTTCCACGTATTGCAAATGTTAATATTATTCTTGTCAGTGTGAGTGTGCGGTTGTATATTACTTGTATAAATATTTTATTTACGGATAAAATCCATGTTACGTAATAAATGAAATAACATTGTTCGTTTCAAATAGAAAGACTTGATAAAATTATTATCTCGCACGCGACGACCGCGCGCGAATAACGAAGAGTGAATTGTTGTGACTTGTTTATTTTAAGAAGTTTTGACACAATCGGCATTCTCAAGATTCTCGCATTTTGCGAAAAGTATATATATATATGATGTTCTCGAGAAATTGAAATATATAATATTATTTTTAGAGACAAAAAAAAATAAACGATAATTAAAAATTTCGCTTCAATTTCTATAATATAAACAGTTTCTTTTTTGTACTCAATTTTTCAAGTGCGAGAACGTGAATCTTTAAACGTCAAAAATTTCTCAACAGATGGAAGTCGCGATGGTTGCGGCGCTCTGGAATTAAGTCTGTCGCGGCGCTCCCGTCGACGTTATGAATAGCTCGCGGATGCGATACAGCGCATATACACAGGTACCACACGGCACACATCAACAAACGCAAAACCGTAATATTTCCTAGTCTCATATCATCCGCAGTGATACCGCATGGCAATAAACAATATGATAAGTGAGAACATCTTTATTCTGATGTGGCATTCGACCTGTGAATTAAATCGAGATATATTTGCCATTAGGTAGAAGTCGCGCCAGTAGCGAAACGTGTCTGTCGTACATTCGTTACAGTTATAAATAACTCGTGGGCGATAGTGAAAATAGCAACCAGGAACGTAACACACGGATCCCAAACAAGAGCGTGAAATATATATTTGTGCAAATTTTAGTCAAACTATCTCTCACTCTTCGCGGAAAAGAAACTTTATCGCGCGCTATGAATGTTTTTTTTTTTTTGCACATATAATAATGTAATAAAATTAATATTTCAAGCGATATATGTACACAGTGTGTACAGTAATAAAGAAAAACTATATAATTTTATGTTTATGAANATTGATTCAAGTTTAAATGATTAATGTTGATGTAAAGTAAAGAGAGTTGTAATATGCACTGTATATATAAAACTCTCTAGCCATATAATAGTTATACAGTTTCGATCGATGTTAATTACCGTGCGCTATAAGTCATCCAGATAATATGACGTAATACGAAGGCTTGCAGCAGGAAACACCTGTTTGGCCAACCAGAGGCGTATTGTTAGTTCGACGAGCNCTTTGTCTTGGTTCATGTAGGCATTTACGGTTTAAACGGCTGGCAGCGATATACAGCGAATACAATGTCCATTGTGCGGTGTGTGACCGACGGTGGACTTAAAATTTGTTCATAAGATTTATCCGCCTTATCAAGTGATGTGACTTAAATAACGTATTACAATTTTCTGGCAAAAGAAATAACAAACGCAATCNAACGATTGTTTTTATTATATGCGACAGAACGTAAATTTGGAAAAAGAAAACNAGAGCGCGTTATATATGAAAAGAAAATCTTTGTTCGGTAATGCGAGAAGCGATTGATAAATATCCGAAACAAGAAGGCAAACAACAATTTATCTGGTTAAGATGTATTTATTTTTCAATGTAGCCGATTTTTCGATACACTTCGATACAATTTTTGATCGGCGTTTCTCGAGAGCGCTTTAACAGAACGAGTTCTCGAGATCTTTAGAAAATAGAGCCATTTACGAGGCATCGATGACTTGATTGTAATTAAAACTTTTTTTCGATCGAGCTAATTTTTCAAGAATAAATGGAAATTGCACGGGGCGTTATCTGGCGAACAAGGCGGATGAGATGAGACAGCAATTCNAAGTTTAACTTTTGGCTATTGCAACAAAGTTGAAGTGTAAAGCTGGTTCATTGTCAAAAATCACCGAGATCTACTGAGTCTACTTTGGCGAGCTGTCACACAAACACTACGTGTGATAATGCGGCGTTTGACATTAGCTCTTTTGAAGAACGAAATTTGTCAACGACAATAGTGATATTATCACAACGTGATGTTACTATACCGTCGTTTCTTATCAGTCTCTACATACAAAATAACAAATTTGAAGAGCTGTAATAAAATTCTAATAATTGATTTTTTAATTCTTACTTGTAGATATTTTTAAAATACATAGAAATTTTTTACAAGAGAAAGACACGGTAAAACTATCTATTTTAAGAATATAAGTATCATTAGAAAAAATATACATATTTCAAAATCGGTACGACGATTTTATATTCCGCAAGAAAGTTTCGTCGCGACCTCGACGTATTTTTCATCATCACGATCGATGGTTCGGTCGACGGAATTTCATTAAGATTGATGTTGAATACTGTATAAATTTCACTTGCAAAATACCGCGAAATTGTCTCGCAGATATTTTCCCAAGGTCCATCGAGCAGAAATTAAATGATCACGTGTGTGTGTGTGTGTGTGGAGATATTAATATCGTCAGTAAATAGTAACTTGCCAAAATCTTCCAAAATTTATTTCTGACGACGACGTTATAAAGTAAAACAATTAAAATATTGATTTTATACGTAAAATTTTAAAATGATATTCATTTACAAAAGTCGTTAAGATTTACAAGGTGTCTAAGTGAAGAAAAAAATGTCAGATGTCGCGCCTGACATCAATTAAATCAACTTACAAATGTGCGCGCGCGTAAGGAGAATATTCGCGTCAAATTATTTCGTTGTTCGAATAACTTTGTCAACAGCATATTGCCCTTGTATGTTTCTCATTGTATTTGAATGTACATATATACAGGCGCGAAGACGCGTCAAGATTTCCTGCATACGAAGTAGCGATAACAACTTGAGACATCTAGTTGAATCATATCAAGCAGCAGTCGCGGAGGGGA